GCAATCTATTTCATCTCTGTGGGTCTCCAGCAAGGGCAGGATCCTGTAGCATACTTCGGCGACAAAAAAATCAAATAGAGGAACTTAGCTACTGTCTTGGTGAGCTCCTGGTCTCTCCCCTGTAATAAGAAGCGTATAACCTCCATCTCCAGAGGGGCTTCAAGATGCTCCAAAATGCTCCTGATCTTCTTGTTCACACAGAGTGTATTCAACCATCCCTTTTCATATTATTCTTTCCCAAATCTCCTTTTGCCTCCTTGAGATGTCTCAAGCCATTATGCACTATTTATTTGTAATTTTATTAACAACATATGTGGCCGGCAACACTGCCACTGATTGTGGATCTTAAGCACCCATTCTGGGTCCATTAACCACTTTCTGTACAAACTGAGACACTTACACAGGAATAATACCACCATGCCAATATCAGTTAGTAGTAAAGAGCAGTGTAGAAGATTTGTTGTTGTTGTTGTTTAGTCGTTTAGTCGTGTCTGACTCTTCGTGACCCCATGGACCAGAGCACGCCAGGCACTCCTGTCTTCCATTGCCTCCTGCAATTTGGTCAAACTCATGTTCGTAGCTTCGAGAACACTGCCCAAACATCTTGTCCTCTGTCATCCCCTTCTCCTTGTGCCATCAATCTTTCCCAACATCAGGGTCTTTTCCAGGGAGTCTTCTCATACTCATTTTAATCCCAGTCAATCCACACATACCTTGCCATGGACAAAGTTTGCTTGCATTTCACGTTTAGCTCCAAAACAGTCATGAGCCCTCTGATGGAGCCTTCAGCCTCTGGCCTCTCTTTTCTAAAAATTAAGTATGGAGTTCATATTACCCGATCTTCAGTTTCTAAAAAGCACATAGGGGATTAATTTGGAGTGTTAATTGTACACTGAATAATTTAAGCCTCTGTGCATACAGGGAGAAAAGAACTGATTTTAAAAGATGTACCACAAGGCTACCAAATATTAGAGATGTGTGAAATCTTTCAGAGGATTTCAGGGGAAACTTTCCAGATGCATTTGGGCAGTTGTGTTCAGTCCCTACTATCCCTGCCATGCGGCTCAAAAGTCTTCTTCCTTAGAAGGGCTAAGAAACTGCCCAGTGACAATACTGTACGTTCAGGAAAGCAGAGAAGCTGATGTTCAGCAAGGGAGCACAGCAGGATCAGGTGTCGATTCCACACTTACTTCAACCTACTGCTCCCAAGTAAAAGGTGCTTAGAACTGTAATGATTTTACAAGAGGGATGAGGAGTTTATGTTGTTGTCTTGTTGGGCTGTAAAACCATACCTTTGTTTTCGAACAGCTTAGTTCTCAAATGTTTTGGCTCCTGAACACCGCAAACTCGGAAGTGACTGTTCTGGTTTGCAGACTATTTTTGGAAGCCAAACGTCCGACGGGGCTTTCACAGCTTCTGATTGGCTGCAGGAGCTTCCTGCAGCCAATCAGAAGCCACGCTTTGGTTTCTGAACGTTTTGGAAGTCGAACGGACTTCTGGAATGGTTTCCCTTCGACTTCCAAGGTACGATTGTATATGTAAAAAAGGTGAACCATACTGGGGTAAAGGCATCCTCTTTTGTTTGTCCTTGTGTTAGTTTCTTCTTTTTTATATAATTTTTTATTGTTAAAATAATTCAACATTAATACACATACAAACATACATTTCATACAACATACCTACATACATACAACATACCTACAACATACCTACACTGAATCCCACAGATAATTCCCATCACCATCCACCCCCCCTCACCCTTTGTGTTAGACTTCCAATCTACTCAATTGCAATTTCTTTCTACTTCTATTACTTTCTTTCACACACCTTTAACCTAATTTCATATTTCTTTTTCTATTAGACATTGTTATCCATCTTATTTAGTATTCCAATATTTGAAACGAAACTTGTTTATTCTAATAGGAGTTCCGATTTTTCGATACAGTTTTGCAAGTATCTTTTAAACACCTTCCAGTCCCTGTCTGGTACTGTACCAACAAAGATAGAGTGGCTTGCCAAATTATTGGAGTACTACAATATATCCAAAACAATGGGAGAAATTGGAAGGATCTCAAAAGAGAAGGCAGACAGGTCCTTGTGTTAGTTTCAATTTGTTGGTTAGGTTTTCTAGTAGGGCTGTTTCCCATACTTTGGTCCACGTTTACTCCTGACAGGTCTCTCCAGTGTCTAGTTAAGATGCTCCTAGCTACTGAGAATAGGTGGCTTATGAGTTCTTTGTAGTGTGAGTGTGTGTTGTTGTCTTGGAATATATTCAATAGGGCCAGTTCTACATATACACTAAGCAAAAGAATGAAAAATTACTACCCCCTTCTTTCTCCCCACCCCTCTCTCCCCCACAACCTCGCAATGTCTATGACACCAGTGTCTCACACTGAATGTAACTATGAACTGAAAACAGAGACGTTGTATGTAGCCTTGTTAATTATGAAAATTCTTTAATAAACACACACACACAACAAGGATGAGGAACCTGTGGGTTTTCAGATTTTGGACTACAACTCACATATTCCTGACCATTGCCCATGCTAGCTGACAGTGGTGTGAGTTCAACAACTTCTGGAGGGCCACAGATTCCTTATTCCTGCTTTGCAATGTAATGACCAATCTTGGCTACATATTGAAACCTTTGATTTCTCTGATCAGCACTCTCTTGCTTCCTTTGCGACATTTAAAAATAGCTTCGTCATGTGAACCAGGCCAGGTCAACTGCAAAGCAGGTACAACTTTTGTTACCATCTTCCTGCTTTGATTTGTTATATTTCTCCCCTGAAGGGAGAGGAGAAAAGCTGGACGATCCCTGAAGGACACTGGACTCAACCGTCACTGATTTGCAACTGTTGGCCTTGACACCAGACTTATCGGTGGGGTGGGGAGATTAAAGGGGGGAAATGGTTGGTTCAATGTGAATGATTTTTGGATCAGAGGGAGGTTGAGGTTTAGTTTATTTTTTAACTAGTGGGTCAGAGTATTGCTTTGTTTATTATTTGAGTCTTTTAATGGGTGTTAAGTTATATGAAATATTAATGTATTATATGATTTCCCCAACTTTCCCTCCCCCCCCCCCCATGGTAATATGTCTTCTTCTTTGGCAATCACTCGTAGCCGAGTAAGATTGTCTTCCATAAACACGCTTTTAACAATGAGTCCGTAAGTGACTGTGGAGGCCAATTCTGGATCCACACGTCCTTCCACAGTGGGGACATTGGTTTCCAGGCGGGAGCTGAAAACGGTGTGGATTTGCCTAGCGTGCCTTCCTCCTAGCACGTTTCTCCCTTGTGTCCTGAGTTTGAGTGTCTTCAAAGCCCATGACACCTTTGGTAAAGGCTGTTCGCAGGCCAGTGTTTCCCTGTTGTCAGTGTTTATACTACATTTTCTCTGTCTCTCTTTGTCTCTGTGTGTGTGATACACACACAGAGATAGATACACACACACACACACACACACACTTTTTATAGGGGTATGCAGGGGGTTTGTGAATCTAATGGGAGAAGAAACTAAATTATTATTTTTTTAGTTTCTTCTCTAGCATGGTGAATCGTCAGTTCCATTGCTACCCCCAATGGCAGCCTCATTTCCTGTCACAGTGTTTCCTGAGTCTCAGATGGAAGCGAACGTTTAATGTGTGAAGTAGGAGTTGGAATCTAACACGGTGATTGGTCAGTTTGATTGTTACCACCTACGATGGTGGCTTCATTTCATTTCCCGGTGATTTTCTTGAGTCAAAATGAGAGTACCCCTAAACATTTTAGGAAAAAAAGGACTGCATGTGTGTGTGTGTGTGTGTGTGTGAGAGAGAGAGAGAGAGAGAGAGAGAGAGAGAGAGAGTACACAGAGAGAGACATACATACAGTATATATATATATGCTGTAAGTTGCTTGGAGACTTTCGGGTAACAAGTGACTAATAAGTCTGATAAATACAATGTAATTACCTCTCCAGACAATGAGATGTTTCTAATCTGTCCTAAATACACTTTCTCTGAAGTAGCTTCTCTTGATTTTGATGGAATTAACTTTCAGTTAAACACTCTAAAGATTACAGCCTCAGTTTAATTTCCAGTTTATGAGTCAGGTGTCATTTGTATGTGAAAAGCGCCCTTTCTTCGAGTAACTACAGGGAGTTAACTGTGGGCGGCAGGATGTATGCAAGTTTTTTAGCTTGTCTAGGTAACTTTTCTAGAGTTTCTGTTTGGAAACAATTGTGTGTGTTTCAGTATTAATGCATATATCTTACAATAAGCACAACCCACCCATATCAGCTGGGATCCTTCTAGTCATGGTACAAAGTTACAGCCCATAACATGAATACCAAGTTCCAAGGGACATCACTTTCAAAGCCCTACAGAGCATAGATGCCAATGAGAAGCCTATGCCTGGTTTGTGATATCAATCTTCTGCAGAAATCCACTAAGTTGAGCTCCTGAGCACTTTATTATCAAGAAAGCCAGTAGTCTAACAAAAGAGAGTTATTAGGCAGGATCTGGTTGTCTTTAGGGATGCGGGTGGCACTGTGGTCTAAAACACTGAGCCTAGGGCTTGCCAATCAGAAGGTTGGCGGTTCGAATCCTGTTGCTTGGTCCCAGCTCCTGCCAACCTAGCAGTTCGAAAGCACATCAAAGTGCAAGTAGATAAATAGGTACCACTCTGGAGGGAAGGTAAACGGTGTTTCCATGCGCTGCTCTGGTTTTGCCAGAAGTGGTTAGTCATGCTGGCCACATGACCTGGAAAAACTGTCTGCGGACAAACATCAGCTCCCTCGGCCTGTAAAACGAGATGAGCACCGCAACCCCAGCACCATTTGCAACTGGACTTAACTGTCAGGGGTCCTTTACCTTTAGTTATCTTGAGGAAAATGTTAGAAAGGGCACTGCTAAAAAGCAGATATTGCATATTCATTGGAATGTTGATCTATGTCAGATATTGCATATTCATTGGAATGTTGATCTAAACAGCTAAATCATGTTTTCTTGGATATCATAGGTACCTCAGTCCTTCAGGTGACAGCTACAGATGCTGATGACCCCACCTATGGAAACAGTGCTCGGGTCGTGTACAGTATTCTTCAGGGACAGCCATATTTCTCTGTTGACCCTAAAACAGGTTAGTACACCCGTTCCACTGTGAGTGACATATCTACAGGCATATTTTAGGAGGTTCTTTCCTCCCCATATTTAGTTAAAAGGCATAAACAATATGTGCTGTTACGTTACTATCACTATTTATACAAATATAAATATACCCTGCCTGTCTAAAAAAACTACAGAAAGGTGGCTTACACAAAATGGATACAATACAAAAAAGATTTAAGACTTCAGCTTAAAAACAATCTAAGAAGAAAAATCGAAAGCAGTTAAAAAGAAAGTCATCGAACAAATGCCACGGAAAGTCTCAATGCACAACATGAGCACAATAGCACTCTAGGCAGTTGCAGTTACTGTAACTTACTGTTATTTGTTAGTGTGGCTATTGCTTTAAGTAGTTTTTTCATGGTCATTAATGGTGCTACTGTTTTAAGAAAATGTCTAGGGGCTTACTCTGGTTCCTATCCCTTCATTAATAAACAGAGGCAATTCTCCTTCCCACATTTTCCTCAGATGACCCATAGGCAAGGGCGGAGGAAGGGGGTGCGGTGGCTGCGGTCCACCCTGGGTGTCACCACGGGGGGGGGGGGTGACAAAATGCCAGGTGGCATTCACTGCGGGTCATGCAGCGTGCCAGAGCCACCACGTCTCTCCTGCGATAGACACGGTGGCTTGGGTGTGTACAGGCTCCACGCTGCCCAAACGGTCTGGCTGCTGCCTACCCCCCCCCCCAGCTGTAGGGCGGCTGAATGGGGGGAGGAAGGCAGACTCCAGATGCCCCACAGTGTGCCCTGCCCCATATGGGCAGCCCGCCCAGCCCCTGGACGCACCACCCCAGGCGCTCAAGCAGCTTCCTCTGCCGCTGCCCACAGCTTTGTTTAGAAAACCTCTTCCCTCTTTTTGAGGTTCACTTTCCCTCAGACAGCTTCCAGGCTTTTCTGATGTCTTCACCAGACGTGTTCAATCTGGCCAGGAACTCATTGTTTCCTCCTGTCAACTGACACCTGCTGTCTCATTGGCCTCCACTTCTCCCCTCCCTCCCGAAATGCTGCTGGAGTCTTCAACATCTATCTCATAGATCTTCTATGACTTCAGCTTCCAGGTTGACTCAACACCTCCAGATTCTCTCTCTAGGTTCTTCTCAAATCCCTCACTAAATCTCTTCATGGTCCACCAAGGACTGCACCAAACAGTGCTGTGTCTGGCCTTATATTCCCTTCAGGCCAATCAACTGTTTTCTGATGGACCAATTGGTTTCTGATGGACCAATAAGTTTGAATGGAATATTCATTAAATGACCAATCATAAAGTGACCCTTTGGATAATACTGCATGTACATAAATGGAGAAGCATCACAGGTACATTGATATCTCCTTAGCAACAGAGAACAACTGTGACCGTTTAACTGCCACTTGACATACTGTTGTCTATCTCTTCTCTGGCTCTAGCCTGGAGTGAAAGAGAAGGCTTTTCTTATTCAGTTAACGATTTGCCTCTCAGATAGTGTTTACATCACAACAAAGTTCTTACATTTAAAATTTGCCTCATAAAAAACATGGTTTGTCTACAGTGGCATATTTTAGCATTGTTTTTGAGCAACGTTCTGAATTTGATCGCTTGCTTATTGTCAACTGAATTTATGAAAACAAGTCTTTGGAACTAGTTGAATTTTAAGCAGTGTTGTTATAATATAAATGTTGATTCTCTATCCATGTGGAGAATACATTTCAGTTGTTGATGCATTATCCATAGAAGTTTGCTTTCTGGTTCTTGGAGAGTATCCTTTTTTGTGCCTATATATTTTCTGTAAGGTGATTAACATCCAACTCATTACATCCATAGGGGCTTCCACTTTCATTCTATAAAGAGAGATATTCCTAGTATGCTTGGAGATTGCCCCTTATATGAACAGAGAATTCTCTTGCCGCTCATAGAGCATTCTGTATATATCTCAGGTGCTAAAGGACAATATTTATTCTCTTGGCCTAAGAGTTCACCTGTTGCCATCTACAGTAATGGAAAAGCAGTGTATAGCATTACCTATGATCTGCAGCATAATGTTTAGGGTGTGATCTGTTTCTTGTTCTGCTTGTTCTGTCCCACGTATGCTGAAATTGGAGTTAAATCTATAAGGTTGTTTCCGAAGCATCTGTGCTGAATGTGAATGATCTTGCACTTTTCAAATGTAAAAACACATATAGTCGGTTTTTTTAATGTTCTTCCTGTGGAATGCTGGATTCAAGGTCTGTGTTGATAGACACCTGGGCTTGATACCTTTAAACATTTGAAGGGGATGTTTCTCAGTGTTTGTTTGTGCAAGTAATTGGAGAGCTACTGCTAATGAACATAAATGTTGCTAATATTTCCTAGCACCAAGAGCCACTCCTAAGGACAGTTTGGGAGCCACTGGGTCTTTCCTGGTATTATTATTATTATTATTATTATTAATTACAAACAAAGGTGGTCTTATCCATTGCTTCCCAACCTATTTTTTTACGCCCACATGAGGACACTGAAGGTAATGAGTGAATAGACAAAAATGTACAGAAAGGATATGCTGAGCAGAAGTGCTCAGTAAGAGAACAAAAATTGGTTGCATTTTATTGTGACTTTTATTCTTCATGTGCTCCCAAAAACTGGTTACTTTTCTATATACATGCTGTGTGCTATGAAAAATCCAATAAAGTATATCACCTTCAGTGTATCATCTTTGTTCTTCTCAGCTTGGGTTCTTTAGGCCCAACTTTGCCTCTTAAATTTGGGGGCTATGTTTCTGTTTTCTGTGAAGTCTAAGGAAAACTATTGTATGTGATCTTTTTGAAATGAGTTTTTGAAAATGTCACAGTTGTGTTTGGAAAATTGTTGTTTCTGTGAGTGTTAGAATATTGCAATTACATTTCTGAGAAGTACATTTCCATATTGTATAGTGAAGGAACTTAAAGCATTAATCAAGGGCCCTCATGACTTATTTAGATGGAGAGTTCTCTCTCCTTGAGATCAGTATAGTCTTTCTTTGAACACCAGAAACTTGCCTGCTGTTTGATTATTGACATTTTACACTGTTTAAAATGCCATATTCTTCTTTTCACTCTCAAATGTGAAATTGTATCTTCAAAATTACACTAGGCTTACAGCTCCATTAGTCACTAAAATATTGCTGTTCAGCAAAAAAGTGAATAGAACTGTTATTTTTGATGGGAAAAATGAATGGTTTTGAAATTATATGTGGCAAACACATTCAACAACATGTTCCAGTAAAACGATTCCGTAGGGCATGTTTGGGCATGAAGTAAAATGGCACTGTATTGATGGGTGTTTGTTCTCATTGATAGAGAAATGTGTCACTTATAAACTTTGTAATGTCCTCTGTATTATTTTACTTTATATTTACTTTTCTTTTGGTAATACTGATTCATAAGATGAACAAACTGTGTCATACCTGTTGGGGTGGAAAAATAAGGAATGCACAAATGAATCATTTGAACGTAAAAAATACAAACTATGATGGTAGCAGAGACATCCTTTAAGTATGCAAAGCTATCCATCCAGCTTCATTTCCCACTCACCCCATTGTTGTCAAATCGCATTTTTTCACTTTTGGTTTTAGAGAAAAATTCCAAATCACTCATAGATAGATAGAGTTGGATTACATTTTTGAAAGTACATGCAGATGAGTTTATTTGCATGTTTTATTCATATAGCCACGACTGCTTTAGCATTGTGCTCTTTCTACCCATCCTCACTCGCTCCACTTCTCATTGTCTTTTTGATAGCCTCCTCAGATGTTCACTGTTTTGGTCCAAGTGCTCTGGGCAGAAATTTTAAAGACTTCTGGCAGCTGCTACAATACCTGAGTTAGCTTAGAAGGTCAAAGCCCCAAGAAAGAAAGGAAAAGATTATTTCCTCTGAAACAAATTCAAGAGTCGGAGCATATGTTGCATGCAACATGCAATTTACATTTGATAAAAATCAATAATTGTACTGAAAAAGCACTTTGTTTTTTAGATGATGTGTTCTTTTTTTGCAGCAAGCATTAGCCATTGTTTAAACCTCACATTAAGCCATTAGTTTACACCTCACATTAAGCCATGACTTGCTGTGAAGAAGAAGCAGGTTAGAGCATGTTGATGAATTGCTCCCATTTTACTCCACTCACCTTCAAGCCTGGAGTAAAAAACCACAAAGCTTGGCTTAACATGATGTGTTAGAATCAAACTGTTATGTATTCAGTGGTCTGTGTTTGCCTGAGCTTGAGTCTGGACTAAGGATTGTGAGCTCCTTTGTTCTGTGATTCGATACATGATATCCAATCACAGAACATTTCAGGATTTGGACCTCTGCCATTGGCCCTTAAACTCTGAGTCATGATTCGCAGCTTAGAAGTTTAGATAGCCAATCACGTTTGGAGTGGGAGTGGCCCAGACCGTCAGAAATGTATATAAGCAGTTGCTTTGCACCTGTTGTCCAGTTCTGTTAGTTCAATAAAGGTTCTTGCTGTTATCGTTGTGTCTTCCCCCGTGGGAACCCACCTACCCTTCACAATCCATGAGTGCCGGTTTGTACATTAAAATAAATCAAGCCTCATGATTTGTGTCTCCCAACTTGAGGAAGCGCAGACCAAAACAAAATAAAAGATGCTCATGGTTTATGGCAGGGGCGTCCAACTTCCAAGAGTCTGCGATCTACTCACAGTATTAGAAAACTGTCAGTGATCTACCCATTGTCAGAGTTGTTTTAGGAAGCCAAAGTTGCTGAGCCTTTTGCTGGGGGTTCAAAGATTGACCAGGATCGACCAGGGACACCCTGTGATGTGATCAACCAGTAGATCGCAATCAACCTGTTGGACAGCCCTGATTTATGGCTTGCCATAACATACAAAGACAAGTGTGGGCATACTTGGCATAAAAGGGACATTTTCTTCTCCCACACATATGTGGGAAGGCCTCTTCTCAAATGATTCTAGTTACAGGTAGGTAGCCGTGTTGGTCTACCATAGTCAAAACAAAATAAAAACATTCCTTCAGATCTGAAGAAGTTGTGAATGCACAAGACAGCTCATACCAATAATAAACTTAGTTGGTCTCTAAGGTGCTGCTGGAAGGATTTTTTTTTATTTTGTTTCTCAAATGAAGTTTGCCTTCTGCAGTTTAAAGAAATACCTGTATAAAAATGAATAATCTTTTGTCAAGAATTGCTATCCAGTTAATCAAGAGCTCCTAACACGTTTTTTTACAGAGATGTCTACACACTTCATTTTTATAGGATTGACTTAAGGGATGTTGCCTGCATTCAGTCAGAATCTATGAGCTGTAGGTTACTTTGCCTCATTTCTTTCACAAAATATTGAGTCAGTCCTAGTGCAGATATGTAGCAGAATCATCAGCTATCTAAGGAGACTTCTGCCAGTTGTATCTCTGCAGTCACAAGGCATACCCATGATGTTGACTTGTAGAAACTCAAGAGTCAGTCTCATTTTCCAGGGGTTGGGGTGGAATTCTTGCTCGTTTTCTTCATGCCTGTGAGTCTAGATAGAGATGGGATGGAATAACTGCATAATAAAAATTCATAATATTGGGCTGTAAGAATGAGTCTTTGGGGTGTGTCAGAGTGAAGTGTTTTTCAAGTGTTAATGCCGAAAAGACAAATTTGCTAACAAATCTTAGGGGGAGAATTTGAGCATGCAGTGAAAGAGACTATGCCTTGGAGATCTAATGTTCAATTACACCCTGAGCCATTTGCTGATAGCCTCTGCTGAGCAATCTGAAATGTATTATTATATGTGATTGATTTCTACTTTGCTCTGCTAAGAAGAGGTCACATTAGAGAATCAAAGCTCATCTTCTTGGTCAAGCCTTTCTTTATTGCAGACATATGTTTCTAACAGAGCGTTTGACTTCGCTTAAACTAAAATTTACTGGCAAGTCTGCCAATGATTATTTCATGGTTTTTCTATAAATACCAAGTTCTTTCACCAAAGAGACTTTTTTTTGGGGGGGAGCTC